TATTAATACAGTTTAAACCAAATGCAATACTAAATTGTTAATTGTTCTACATGCATACCCTTCATTATATTGATTAAAAATGTGCAAATTCATAATACATTTCCAAATAGCTCCCGTCATACAAACCACAGTATTAACAGACTAAGAGAACCAACGACAATTAACTTTATTATATGTCACCGCATTTTTCATATAAGCTAAAAGTATGACGAAATGGAAAAAAATACATCATCAAATTTATTGTTTACTTTCAGAAAGTTCTTTATACTTCATTTTTTCTTAAAAAATTGTAATTTAAGTCTATTACAACCTTATAAAACCAACTTGTAAGACGAGATTTGTAACCACTCACACCCACATTGGCTAAAAATAGATCAAATCATAGTATATATAAGTGAATGTATCAAATCATAATTTCAAACGGGTGATACAAGGTTGAGTTAGACTTAAATTACACTTTCTTAAAAGTATTCATGGTATATTATAATCTCAATTTTTTAGTGAAAAAGTTCAAGATATTAGAACTATTTCCTGCAACAGGATATGCAGAACATAAATGTTTACAAGCATTAAGAGCATAAATTTACGGAACCAAAACCCACCTGGGGATTGTTTCTTAGAAAGTCAAGTGACCCAATTCCGGCTCCAACACCAGAAATTGCTTCCTGAAAAAAAGTACATCTACTTAAAATAAAGCTCAAAAACTAACAGCACAAAATGTAAAGACTAGGTTTACCTGTGGAAACATATTCAAGGGAGAAGAGTTAGGGACACCAGGAACAGCTCCGGCAGTGACCCCACCTGTTTCAGTTGTCTGACTATTTGGGTAAGGAGCAGCTGGCACAGCAATTTCTGCTGCTTCAGGAATTCCCTGCAAACAAAACAAATAAATAAATGCAAAAGCTACGAAAATAAGATCTATGCAGTTAATTCTACAATGAGCACTTTATACATACTGAATACAGGTAGTCCACAGCACGCTCTGGGTTATTGTAAGCTGCTCGGAGAGCACGACTAACTGTATCTCTGTCCCAACTGCCACCACCCATGTCTATAATTTGCTGAATAGTCTGCTCAAGATTACTACCAGCAACTAAATTTGAAGCAGCCTGGCCATAAGTATCCGTAGTCACACTGCAAAAATGATACCAAATGGTTTTTCAGAAGACTTTATAACAGGAAATGGGTAATTGCAAACAGCTCAATTTGTTAATTGAAACAAGAGGGTGATGTTATATTAATTTACGACAGAACTATAATTATGAACAATATTGTTAAAATTTCAAGTATACAATGTGGTGATGACGAGCACAGCAAAATGGGAGAAGCATTGATCAAAGCAGGGTCACATGGTTGCTCATGAAATCAAAGGATTGTGCACAGCATCAATCCGTTTGAGAAAGTCAGGCTTTGAGTTAAAACAGTTATTTTTCTTTCTAAAAAACCAAACTCATAAGGATGGCCGCCTTCCCCAGGGATCCATTTGTAAATTAGAATAAAACCAAACAACACTCTCATCATCAACACTCTCAGTCACCATTGGCTATCACAACACTGACACTATTGTCATCTATGCCAGCATTGATTACAAGGCTATGATTTGCCATTCTAGAATAAAATTTCTTGAGCCTAAAGTTTTGGTTGCCTGTAATGGAAAAAGGGTTTTTCAAGTTGCTTGTGAAACACGTAGCCTTCATTCATCTGAAATGCTAACTGAATGCAACATGCTGAATGAAATCTGGATATAAGCCAGATCCTTCTAAGAACAGTAACTTGTGTACAGGTAAAAACAGATTAATTAGATTGGACCAAACTGAAAAGGAATTGTGCTGGTCCATGTTAGAATTAGACCATATTGGCCCAACCTATAAGTTATCAGGCTAGTCCCTAATTTAATTTCATCCTGATTTAGCATACGACCATAACTTCTGGACAGTGGAAAAAAATTAATTAGATCTGGCCCGATTTGGCCTCAGATAGAAATTAATTTGAATAGTAACCAAAGTAATCAGGTGGGCCATAACAGCATCAGACCAAATTCATGTTACAAAAAAAATCATTTTACCTTGAATTTATTACTATAAATAAAAAGGATCCCTCATTAACAGCCTTCATTAGATGTAAACCTCTTAAAAGGAACATCAGGGCAAAAAGAATAGAAACATCATCAGAATTTATAAGCAGTATATTCAGGCAACTGTAAAGATAAAATTCATACTTTGTAGTTGTGACATCTGTTGCAGGAGCATTATTGTTAGCAGATCTGCAAAACCAATTGTTAGGCAAAAATTTCAGCTGGTATAAAACCAACCACAAAAAGCTATTTCAAATAAACTCACTGGGTTTGTACTAGAGACGAGGAATTTGGTGTTGATACAGTTATAGGTGGGTTGCTAGCAGGCTGTAACACATGCCCAATCACCAGCTCATACAGGGGAAAAAGAAATAAAAGCCAAATGCCAACAAGAAGAAATAAAAAATGAGCAAGGAACATGCCTGACTTGATGAAGTGCCAGCAGATCCCAAGGTTTTACTCTGCAATTGAAGAAACATGTAAAAAGTATGTTCACAGAAGTAAAAAGGAATCACCAACAAAACATACCAAAGCCTAAGAAAGGCAACTATTGAAAGGACAAAAATGAACATGGAATTGGGTTTATCAAACATAATAGATGACCTACTTCAAATATATGATGACATCTAATGCTTTCACAATTATGGTGACCTAACTTCTGAAAAACTAATATAATTATTAGATCGTTCAAAGACTGTTTAATAGTATGTTTTTGTATAAAAGATCATAGTGCTGCATATTATTTAGAAACAAATAGTTTAAAAATATGATAAATATTAACTCAACTTTTATTTCTCTAACAAAGGCAAGAATATATTTATTAATATCTATAATTAAAAAAACGCACCAATATGAAAATCCGTGTATGTGACTGTTCATAAATGACAGCAAATATAACAAAACAATCTGAGAGGGGAGCACGTTAGTAAAACCATATGCAATGGCTTGATTGCATAGTAAAGTGTGGAACGGCAGGGAGGAGAAAAGACAGCGTAGAAAGAGAAAATGACATCTTCAGTGCCATGGAATACCTACCCTAAAAGAGTACCTGGTCTTTAGGTTTATCACTTACATCAAAATGACTAGCTGGGTTTCTGTTTAGCCATTTTAATTCTGTATGCCTACATGCTAGGCTACCATGACATTATTACCTTGCTGGTTAGCCACAAGTTTCACTTCAAAAACTAAAGGCAGTCTTTTACATTGGTAGAAAAAATATTTCAAAATTGAAAAGCATGATTGCATTACACCATTTCATCATAAGCGTCATTTGGCATTGTAGATGGATACCCAACCTAGGACCTAACTCAATCAACCTAGCATTTTATTCACACCTAACAACCCAATCTATTCATTTATGCTAGGCAGGCACCCTCAAACCTCACAGTCCCTCAACCAATTAAAGTGATCATTCAAGATACACTGACTTATCCCAACCAGGAATACTTTAACTACATTGTTTGTACGGTGATTACAATCACCTCACTTTCTATAAAGTCAAGACAAACACCTTACACCACCCAGGTAATCATCATCTCCGTATAACTAACCCCTAAGTCATCATGCTAACTTCGGAATATTGGAGTAACATGGCAAGTACAGAAACTATATAACCGTAGAGGAAGAAGGATTTCAAACACAACAACCATTTGAAGCATGTCCAGAGTCATTCTCATCACATCAGATCAAGTTCTTATTGATTTTTCTTTTCCAAAAAAGATGACAATATTATTTTAACAGAATTTGTCGTTAAGGAAATATACCTTACTAAGCATTACAACAAGAAAGCCATCCTCAGAGACCTTATTGTCTGCTAATGTAGTTTCATCTTTCAAAACCTTGCCATTGTGGATCAGCAATTGCTGTCCACATGGGTAATTATCTTTGCCTTGTACATCTTCAATATTTTTCTTCACAGCCATAATCTGAGTGGGAATAAATAGTAGGGCAATGTCAGCTAACAAAGAACAAAATCTGAATGACTCTTCATGTAATATTAGTAGATTGATATAATAAAGCACTGCAGTCGTATTTTGGATAGAAAAGACACCAGAAATGTAACGGTTCAGGAAGATAGAATAGCAGAGGATAAATAGGGTGGGAAACAGTGAAAGTATACGAGATATGGGAATGAGAGATATTACTAACAGTGTCTGAGGGCTGAACCCTGATTTCGAAATGGCTGCCTTTCAAAGTCTTGACGGTGAGCTTCATGCCTCCTCGCCGGTCGTTTGTCAACACCGCCGATTCCAATCCAATCACCTCCGCCCCGCCAAACCCTAGACTTTACCCTCACACCTTCTCACTCTCACAAACCCACGCTTTTTTCTTTTCCTTTTCAACTTTTTTTTTTCCTTTTACGCCTTAGATAACAATCCCACTCTTCTATTTTAGTTTTATGATTCACTTATTGGGCAAATTCAAGTAGAAAAATAAAAAATGTAACTTCTTTTATTTTTTTTAAAACCCCTCATACTTTTTTTAATGTGTTAGTTTCATTTTTTTAAAATAGATATACTTATTTCATTTATGATTGCAATTTTTTAAAAAAGATTTAACTCATTAAAGAAAATTACTAGATTTACCTTGATGAAATATATCTTATTTTTAAATGAAAAATAGTAATAAATCGGTAAAAGTTAAGTCCTACACAGAATCAAAGAAAGGGTTATATGGTTTATCCTAACATTAAAAACAACATTAAAAGGATTAAACTCACTCAAATTTAAAAGATGAAAAATAGAAAAAAAAATCAAATTAAAACTTATAAACGAGATTAAAAAAAGAAAAAAAACTGTTCTGCTCATACGTCGTTTTAAGTGTTTTGTTTTTAGGAACAAGCTGGTAAAAGTGTTGTATGCAGTAATTCCGTTAATTTGAAAATGAAATAGTTGAATTAATGAAAAAAAATAATTGATTTAATTTGTTTTAGAAATGCATGAGCGCGGAGAAGAGTGGATGAATATAGAGAGATGCATGGCGGAGGTTGAAGAGAAAGAAAAATAAGCAATGAGCTAAATATAGAGATAGTAAGAGTGAAACGTGAAAGTGGCCAAAGAATGTGAAGAGAGAGTTGCTGAAAAACAGGGAGAACAGATCAGAGTACTTGAGATGCGGATCTCAACTCAGGAAGAGGTAGAAGCCTCAGAGAATATATAAGAGATCCGATAATGTTTTCAATGGTTGGAAAGTGTGATGTATGTGTGTGTATGAATGTATGCATTGAGGGAGCTGAAGAAGAAGAAGAAGATGATGATGATGATGATGATGAAGATGAGTAGTGCGCGTGTGTCTTACTGGACAATGCTGCTTCTCTTCCTTGCAATGCTGGAGCCTTGCCCTGTGGCGGCTTTTGACATAACCATACTCCTGTCGGAATATCCCTCATATTCCTCATTCTCCGACTACCTCAAGCAAACGCAACTGACCGACGCAATAAACGCCAGGCAGAGCGTGACGGTGTTCGCGGTGGATAACACCGCCATGGCTCCTCTCTCCGGGAAATCAATCCACCACATAAAGACCATCTTGAGCCACCACGTCGCGCTGGGCTACCTGGATCTCCACCAAACTCAAACCATCAGCGCCACCACGCTGTCGCAGGACGAGGGAGTGCTCCTCAAGATCAACAACGGCGACGTCACCTTAGTGTCCGCCGCCAAGCCAAACGGCGTGGCCAGAGCCAAACTCATAAAACCCCTCACGGCAGAATCCGAGAAGCAGTGTAATATTTCGGTGGTGCAGGTAAACAGCCTCATGATAAACACCAATCCGGAGGTTATAATCCCAGTCAAGTCACCTGTGCCGGTGATATCACCCGTACCGGTAATCACTCCGATTCCGGTCAAGTCACCCGTGCCGGTCATTTCACCCGTCCCAGTAGTATCGCTTGTTCCAACACCTACTCCGCTGCTAACACCAATTTCCGCCGATATTATATCACCCGTTCCTGTAATCTCCCCCGTTCCGGTCAAGTCTCCCGTCCCGGTCATAACACCCGTCCCTGTAATCTCACCGGTTCCGGTCATCTCCCCCGTCCCGGTCGTATCACCCGTCCCAGTAATGACTCCTGTTCTGGTTAACCCCCCGGCGCCGGCAGTCTCTCCCGCCATTCTGATTAAACCCCCGGCTCCAGTAATGCCAGCGGTGCCCGTAACTTCACCGGTTCCGGCAGTATCACCTGTGAGAGTGCCGGTGCCTGTCCCAGTCCCGGTGCCGGTAATGACACCAGCAGCTGGTGACGTGGTTGGGAGTCCCGGTTCTGCGGGTCCAGGTGACGGCTCTGCGGGTGAGACTGAAGCCGATGGTAAACATAAGTCAGGGGTGGTTCTGTTTAGCGTGAATTGGTCTTTAGCTATTTTGCTTGCTTTCTCCCTTTCACTATTTATTAATTATGAGTATTGATGGATGATTAGTATGAGCATTCCAGCAGTAGATATAGGATTAGGACAAGGACAATTAATTCATTCCTTTCTTTACCTTCTTTCTATTATTCCTGTAATGTTTCTTAACTATATTACATGCATGCATTGCAGAATAATACTTTAATTTCTTTCTTCTCGCTTCTTCCTTTCTTCTTCTTGGATCTTTTGGATCTTGTACATTTTCATAACATGTTTCTGGTACAACGTTTTGGGTAAATGGACGGAACTAAAAGCCTTCGTTTTACCAAAAGCCTCAGTCAGAGTGTATCGTGTCAATGTTAGTTTGCCTCCTGTTTGATAGAAGAATTTCAGTTTTAAACTATTCTTTTCATAATTCATGTTGCATCAAAAAATCTGAGGTCACTCTTGCAACCTGCCTTAATCACAGCCATGTTATAACAAAGATTAGCTGAAAGTTTGTCCACGTTAAATCTCATTACATAAAGATGCCTATCATTACAACAAGAAATTAAATTTTGGGAGCATTTGAAACAAGAGCTTTTATAAAGCTCAGAAAAGCAACTCATGACCTTCTTAATTGAATGTTTTTTCAACTTATTTTCATGAACTCTCTACTCACGCATACCTTTTCTGTTGAATACACGTTTGTACGTGCCACTTTCATATGATTTAAAATTTTGAAACAATTTGTAGACTAGCTTATCATAACCAGGTTGTCCATTTCAATATAGCTTATCATAACCAAGTCTCATCATAAATGTACCCAAGTCTCTGACATTGATACGCATTTCTCCTCAGGTGCATTTCTTATTTGCCAATGAATATATAGCCTTCAGCCTAAAATTTTGAAGTGCCAGGTTGAAAGGTTTTCTATTTTATTCAACTTTTACTTTTAAGCATATATGATTTATGTTAGAAGTAATCTAGTTTTGACATTCTCACCAATCAGTTTCAATCTAAACTGAGGTGAAGAAGATGAAAAGCCAAATTATATAGATCTTCATTGTAGTTTAAGTACTATTTGGGGCTAGCATATTTCAGAGGACTGCAGGGGTAGAAAGATATCTGAGATAAAATAAAATCTTTCAGAATAGATTAAAACCGTATATAATTGGAACAATATATCTACAGTTATGTCAACATTACATTAATTTCACCAATTAGCAAGCTGAGGACGATGTTGGAAATAGAAATTCACATATATCATATTACGATGTACCTGCGTGTGTCTTCTGTTGAAGATCGTAGTGGTCTGAAAGTAGATAATCTTTAGATTATAACACCACAATGCTCTCACTAATTATTTCTACAGCCCCTTTGTGTAAGTTTGACTCGGGATTTTACGTTCGGATTTTTCTTTTACTAGTAGGCATACAGACAAAAGTTGAGATTATTATCTTATATGATCGCATTAAAGTTAAACACTCTGCTGCTTGTTACTAACAATGAACACAGTTAATCTTATAGTCATTGACAAGTGAAAATTGCTTGCTTTGCCGTTAGAGAAACCCGGGTATGACTTCTGACAAACTATTGGCATATTTACATACTACTGTCATACGGAGTACAGTTTCAGTTGTAAAAGAGAAACCTCAAACGATTTTGTTGTCACAGGGACGTGTACTTGGTTTCAGCGGCCAAGAAACATGCCTCCGCCATGCTGGCAAAGGGGAGATAAAAGAACGGTGGCTTGCCAGTTGCAGACTGCAATACATCAGTGGAGGTTTTATTTGTAAACGTAAAACCCGTGTCTGGTTTTTAAGTGTGATTTGCAGATTCTGATGAAGCTTCAGTGTGGTTGGACCATACAAAGATCCTCCAGAACGGCAATTGCTTACGCTTATGGTGGTTTTCTGTAACATCGCTTTCGGTTCTTTGTAGCATTTCCCACATCACTTGTACATCTTCATATCCACAAGTCTGTACATCATCCTGAAGCTTCAGCAGTCCTTCTCCTGCAGCAAACAACAGATCATTCATGTTAATGCAACCGATGATTAAAAAAAAAGAAGAAAAAAAGTAGTCTCAATAGCGTCTATGAGATGCGTGTATGAATTGATAATCACTAAGGATAAGGATGCTTTGGGGATTCCATTTGGTTTACATAAAGCATCACCCATTGAGTCTATATGATGTAAAAAGCAACAAATATTGCTTGTGACTGAACTCTGGGTGCGGAACAGAGGAAACTTTTATCAGGCCACTCAGCATTATAAAGTAGTGATCACTGTGAAAAATACAAACTTTGACGATGTTATTTGCTGCCAGCAGAAAAGTTTTTAGGGGGCATAAAGGTGCACTGAAAAAGATGTGGATCCTACACCAATCTTTCCCTCGGTGGGAAGGGTGACGAAAGGATTAGTTAGCTACTGCTGAAAACACCTCTAGAATAATAATGTAAAGAATTATAAACTGCAGTGGGTGTAAAAATAGATATAAATTGCATTGACGTAGAAAGGTATGGTTTTGTCTTGAAGTGGCGTGCGTGGGTAGGTGGATTGAAATTAAGTAAAAACCAAAAGCAATAATGCTTAGAATGAAGATCATGTGATCATGAAAAAGATTGTGAAGCAGAAGGAAGAAGAAAATTGAATTATGATGGAAAAGAAGAAGGAGAAGAGAGAGAGTAAGAACCGTTTTTGCGAGTCTTGAGACGAGCAGAGAGAGCAAGCCAGACACGCCTGACTGGAAAAATCATGTTGCGCCAGATATCCATGATGAGTTTGTTGGGTTTTGGTGTTATGTGGATGATTTTCTTTCTCTTTCTCTTTCTGGTTTTCCTTCTTCTCTGCCGAAGTGGCAACGCTACTATTCTTCTTAACCAGGCCAGACCTATCTGCTGTTATCATATCATCTCATATTCTTCCTTCTCTTCTTCCACGAACACCAACACAACACAGACAGAGACAGCGACCGAACCCAGGAACAAGAAAGCCTAATGATGTTCGCAATTACCCTTCCGCGTTTCTGTCTTATAAAACTCACACCACCGACACGTGATCTTTAATTATTCTCCTGTCACTCTTTTTTCTTTTATTTATTCACGCACCACCAACTAATATTATTCATCACCCTTCCATTAACACACTCACAATTACAAACTACTCCTGCTTCTCACGTCTCCACATCATCCCATTTTCCTTTTCTATTAATAAAAACCCTATCACTTTCTCTTTCTTCTCACGATACTATATTCATTTCAGATGTAGAAATAACTTTACTAAATTTTAAAATACATATATTATTTTTACTTAGCTGAATATTTTTAATAAAAAAATTTATATTAAGGGTTATGATTATAATTTTTATTCAAATCTCCCTTTTCTTCCAAATCCTCGCCACGACGGATTCTACATAGNGTGAAACGTGAAAGTGGCCAAAGAATGTGAAGAGAGAGTTGCTGAAAAACAGGGAGAACAGATCAGAGTACTTGAGATGCGGATCTCAACTCAGGAAGAGGTAGAAGCCTCAGAGAATATATAAGAGATCCGATAATGTTTTCAATGGTTGGAAAGTGTGATGTATGTGTGTGTATGAATGTATGCATTGAGGGAGCTGAAGAAGAAGAAGAAGATGATGACGACGATGATGATGAAGATGAGTAGTGCGCGTGTGTCTTACTGGACAATGCTGCTTCTCTTCCTTGCAATGCTGGAGCCGTGCCCTGTGGCGGCTTTGGACATAACCAAACTCCTGTCGGAATATCCCTCATATTCCTCATTCTCCGACTACCTCAAGCAAACGCAACTGACCGACGCAATAAACGCCAGGCAGAGCGTGACGGTGTTCGCGGTGGATAACACCGCCATGGCTCCTCTCTCCGGGAAATCAATCCACCACATAAAGACCATCTTGAGCCACCACGTCGCGCTGGGCTACCTGGATCTCCACCAAACTCAAACCATCAGCGCCACCACGCTGTCGCAGGACGAGGGAGTGCTCCTCAAGATCAACAACGGCGACGTCACCTTAGTGTCCGCCGCCAAGCCAAACGGCGTGGCCAGAGCCAAACTCATAAAACCCCTCACGGCAGAATCCGAGAAGCAGTGTAATATTTCGGTGGTGCAGGTAAACAGCCTCATGATAAACACCAATCCGGAGGTTATAATCCCAGTCAAGTCACCTGTGCCGGTGATATCACCCGTACCGGTAATCACTCCGATTCCGGTCAAGTCACCCGTGCCGGTCATTTCACCCGTCCCAGTAGTATCGCTTGTTCCAACACCTACTCCGCTGCTAACACCAATTTCCGCCGATATTATATCACCCGTTCCTGTAATCTCCCCCGTTCCGGTCAAGTCTCCCGTCCCGGTCATAACACCCGTCCCTGTAATCTCACCGGTTCCGGTCATCTCCCCCGTCCCGGTCGTATCACCCGTCCCAGTAATGACTCCTGTTCTGGTTAACCCCCCGGCGCCGGCAGTCTCTCCCGCCATTCTGATTAAACCCCCGGCTCCAGTAATGCCAGCGGTGCCCGTAACTTCACCGGTTCCGGCAGTATCACCTGTGAGAGTGCCGGTGCCTGTCCCAGTCCCGGTGCCGGTAATGACACCAGCAGCTGGTGACGTGGTTGGGAGTCCCGGTTCTGCGGGTCCAGGTGACGGCTCTGCGGGTGAGACTGAAGCCGATGGTAAACATAAGTCAGGGGTGGTTCTGTTTAGCGTGAATTGGTCTTTAGCTATTTTGCTTGCTTTCTCCCTTTCACTATTTATTAATTATGAGTATTGATGGATGATTAGTATGAGCATTCCAGCAGTAGATATAGGATTAGGACAAGGACAATTAATTCATTCCTTTCTTTACCTTCTTTCTATTATTCCTGTAATGTTTCTTAACTATATTACATGCATGCATTGCAGAATAATACTTTAATTTCTTTCTTCTCGCTTCTTCCTTTCTTCTTCTTGGATCTTTTGGATCTTGTACATTTTCATAACATGTTTCTGGTACAACGTTTTGGGTAAATGGACGGAACTAAAAGCCTTCGTTTTACCAAAAGCCTCAGTCAGAGTGTATCGTGTCAATGTTAGTTTGCCTCCTGTTTGATAGAAGAATTTCAGTTTTAAACTATTCTTTTCATAATTCATGTTGCATCAAAAAATCTGAGGTCACTCTTGCAACCTGCCTTAATCACAGCCATGTTATAACAAAGATTAGCTGAAAGTTTGTCCACGTTAAATCTCATTACATAAAGATGCCTATCATTACAACAAGAAATTAAATTTTGGGAGCATTTGAAACAAGAGCTTGTATAAAGCTCAGAAAAGCAACTCATGACCTTCTTAATTGAATGTTTTTTCAACTTATTTTCATGAACTCTCTACTCACGCATACCTTTTCTGTTGAATACACGTTTGTACGTGCCACTTTCATATGACTTAAAATTTTGAAACAATTTGTAGACTAGCTTATCATAACCAGGTTGTCCATTTCAATATAGCTTATCATAACCAAGTCTCATCATAAATGTACCCAAGTCTCTGACATTGATACGCATTTCTCCTCAGGTGCATTTCTTATTTGCCAATGAATATATAGCCTTCAGCCTAAAATTTTGAAGTGCCAGGTTGAAAGGTTTTCTATTTTATTCAACTTTTACTTTTAAGCATATATGATTTATGTTAGAAGTAATCTAGTTTTGACATTCTCACCAATCAGTTTCAATCTAAACTGAGGTGAAGAAGATGAAAAGCCAAATTATATAGATCTTCATTGTAGTTTAAGTACTATTTGGGGCTAGCATATTTCAGAGGACTGCAGGGGTAGAAAGATATCTGAGATAAAATAAAATCTTTCAGAATAGATTAAAACCGTATATAATTGGAACAATATATCTACAGTTATGTCAACATTACATTAATTTCACCAATTAGCAAGCTGAGGACGATGTTGGAAATAGAAATTCACATATATCATATTACGATGTACCTGCGTGTGTCTTCTGTTGAAGATCGTAGTGGTCTGAAAGTAGATAATCTTTAGATTATAACACCACAATGCTCTCACTAATAATTTCTACAGCCCCTTTGTGTAAGTTTGACTCGGGATTTTACGTTCGGATTTTTCTTTTACTAGTAGGCATACAGACAAAAGTTGAGATTATTATCTTATATGATCGCATTAAAGTTAAACACTCTGCTGCTTGTTACTAACAATGAACACAGTTAATCTTATAGTCATTGACAAGTGAAAATTGCTTGCTTTGCCGTTAGAGAAACCCGGGTATGACTTCTGACAAACTATTGGCATATTTACATACTACTGTCATACGGAGTACAGTTTCAGTTGTAAAAGAGAAACCTCAAACGATTTTGTTGTCACAGGGACGTGTACTTGGTTTCAGCGGCCAAGAAACATGCCTCCGCCATGCTGGCAAAGGGGAGATAAAAGAACGGTGGCTTGCCAGTTGCAGACTGCAATACATCAGTGGAGGTTTTATTTGTAAACGTAAAACCCGTGTCTGGTTTTTAAGTGTGATTTGCAGATTCTGATGAAGCTTCAGTGTGGTTGGACCATACAAAGATCCTCCAGAACGGCAATTGCTTACGCTTATGGTGGTTTTCTGTAACATCGCTTTCGGTTCTTTGTAGCATTTCCCACATCACTTGTACATCTTCATATCCACAAGTCTGTACATCATCCTGAAGCTTCAGCAGTCCTTCTCCTGCAGCAAACAACAGATCATTCATGTTAATGCAACCGATGATTAAAAAAAAAGAAGAAAAAAAGTAGTCTCAATAGCGTCTATGAGATGCGTGTATGAATTGATAATCACTAAGGATAAGGATGCTTTGGGGATTCCATTTGGTTCACATAAAGCATCACCCATTGAGTCTATATGATGTAAAAAGCAACAAATATTGCTTGTGACTGAACTCTGGGTGCGGAACAGAGGAAACTTTTATCAGGCCACTCAGCATTATAAAGTAGTGATCACTGTGAAAAATACAAACTTTGACGATGTTATTTGCTGCCAGCAGAAAAGTTTTTAGGGGGCATAAAGGTGCACTGAAAAAGATGTGGATCCTACACCAATCTTTCCCTCGGTGGGAAGGGTGACGAAAGGATTAGTTAGCTACTGCTGAAAACACCTCTAGAATAATAATGTAAAGAATTATAAACTGCAGTGGGTGTAAAAATAGATATAAATTGCATTGACGTAGAAAGGTATGGTTTTGTCTTGAAGTGGCGTGCGTGGGTAGGTGGATTGAAATTAAGTAAAAACCAAAAGCAATAATGCTTAGAATGAAGATCATGTGATCATGAAAAAGATTGTGAAGCAGAAGGAAGAAGAAAATTGAATTATGATGGAAAAGAAGAAGGAGAAGAGAGAGAGTAAGAACCGTTTTTGCGAGTCTTGAGACGAGCAGAGAGAGCAAGCCAGACACGCCTGACTGGAAAAATCATGTTGCGCCAGATATCCATGATGAGTTTGTTGGGTTTTGGTGTTATGTGGATGATTTTCTTTCTCTTTCTCTTTCTGGTTTTCCTTCTTCTCTGCCGAAGTGGCAACGCTACTATTCTTCTTAACCAGGCCAGACCTATCTGCTGTTATCATATCATCTCATATTCTTCCTTCTCTTCTTCCACGAACACCAACACAACACAGACAGAGACAGCGACCGAACCCAGGAACAAGAAAGCCTAATGATGTTCGCAATTACCCTTCCGCGTTTCTGTCTTATAAAACTCACACCACCGACACGTGATCTTTAATTATTCTCCTGTCACTCTTTTTTCTTTTATTTATTCACGCACCACCAACTAATATTATTCATCACCCTTCCATTAACACACTCACAATTACAAACTACTCCTGCTTCTCACGTCTCCACATCATCCCATTTTCCTTTTCTATTAATAAAAACCCTATCACTTTCTCTTTCTTCTCACGATACTATATTCATTTCAGATGTAGAAATAACTTTACTAAATTTTAAAATACATATATTATTTTTACTTAGCTGAATATTTTTAATAAAAAAATTTATATTAAGGGTTATGATTATAATTTTTATTCAAATCTCCCTTTTCTTCCAAATCCTCGCCACGACGGATTCTACATAGATTATAAGATTAAGTTAACTTTAAAATCTATTTCTTATCATTCAATAATACAATTTAATTAAGATTTTATTTTTCAAATCCAATAATAAAGATCAAATATTTTTATTTTTATCTATTACAATTTAAAAAATGGACACAATAATCTAGTTGTGGGTTTTGAATTCTTTCATAAGACAAAACCATGCAGATAAAAGATCATTTTAATGTAAAAATACATAAAAAAGGACTTACCAATTAAATATCTTTTTGAAGTGAGACGTTATCACTTTTTAATTAGAATTAGCGTTAATTTAGTGAAAGAGACGGATTAAAATACATTAATAATTTAAATATAAATGTAAAATTAATAATTAAACTAATTTAAATAAAGGAATGCTAGGAGAAGGGCTTATTTTATCATTTGTCACAAATATTACATGTAAGAACGAGGATCTCGATATTTTAAGTAAAGAAAGATTATTCAGAATTCAATTTTTTTAATAAAAAAATAAATGTATTCAGTATTTTTTTCATCATTAACGAATAATAAAGAAGAGTAGAAAATTCATTTTAGAAACAATTTGTACAGGTACCCTGTTATGTTTATTTATTGACGTCTTCAAGTTGCATAGAATAATTTGCCGCTGTGGTTATTTAACTCAGCACACTGTAACTTCAAAATATACTAATAATTAAACACGTTTTCATAATTAAAAATTACATTCCACCACGTGACTCACTATTTACATTGTTATGATTTGTGGAAAAAAAGAGACAAGACAATGCCGACTAAACATCTATATTTAAGTATATACTTATGTATTGTGTGGTAGGGGAAAAAAATAAAAAATAAAAAAAAATTGTTTTACCTAGGATTGAAGCCTCATCCTCAATACTCCAAGTTGAAGACAAGAAAGACGTGGCCCAAAGCGGATGGACATTGCCAAGACACTAAAGGTTGACTTGAAGATTGGATGAGCTGCCCAATAGTCTTCTAGTTGACACGTAGGCCGGGCGAGCTTCCTGGTGGTCGTCATTCCTCCTCTTTATCTAAGTCGGGTGGGCGGACACCTGTCAAAGACACTCCGATACTCAAGTTAGTAATGTAACCGAGCGGTTGGAAGAGCAAGTAGTGCATGTATATTGTGCATCGTACCTCTAAAGTCATACCTAAGACTTTGTTTATACTAGTTGTGATGAACTTTTACCTTTTGCCAACCTAATGACGACCCAATCACACCTTAACTTTCATTATGGACTTAATGAGTCATTATCGTTTATATAATCTAACCATGTGATCGACCATTTGATTATTCGGTCTGGATAGTCGACCTGAATGGTCGGTCTGAATGGTCGACCTAATGGATGATCAACTTAATGAATGATTGACTGGATAGACAATCATAATAAAACTGTAAAGAAGGACGGACGTGTGGAAGGACCTTACAATCATGTGGAGAATTGTTAGATATAATGTAAAGATAAATATATAAAGAATTAAATATATTTTTAAGTTTTTAAAGATCCCATATCTCAAATTAAATTTATTATATAATTAGTTAAAAAAACTGATTTGTCAATCAATAGAATCGGGAAGGAATGGTACTTTCCTCATTTGTTTCGTTTCTAATACTTTTTTAGAAAAGAAAAAGAAAAATATCGGTGAGCATTGAATGATTATTAGAAAATGAGAAAAAGGTAATTCAACAAGAGCGGCACCTATTCCCTGACACTCTTTTGTCCTTTTATTCATCAATATTTTAAGTTGTCACTGCCAAAATAAAAACAAACACGTGCTTCATATTGTCTTGTCTTCTTTCATTATGTAAACAACATCCTTATTATTAATTAGGAAAATGATACTTGAACAACCATTTTTGACAACATTTAGACACGCGTACACGTGTCAAAATCTGAGTGGTCTAATTGGAAAAATTAAATGAAAATGGACCACTCAGATTTTGACACGTGTGCGCGTGTCTAAATGTTGTCAAAAATGGTTGTTCAAGTGTCATTTTCCTATTAATTAACATCATTTGTAATGTTTATCGACCTATTCGACTCAGATTTTACTTCTTTTTTTATTCATTTAAGTCTTTACTTTTGAAACTCATATATATTTTTACTGCATAATTTTTTGTTATTATTATAAAACAATAAAAAGAAAAAAAGTTAATTCAGTGCACATGAAATATTTAAAATAAAAATAATGATATTTTGACAATATTTTAATATGACTTACGTGTTATTTTGTGATTAGTCTATATTAGTGTTTATGATTATTATTATTGATTATAAAATAATTTTGGATTAATCACACGTAGATGTTATAAAAAAAATGTTCTGATTGAAGAAAAAGGTTGGTGTCGGTGAAGTTTGGTGGATGCAGGAGAAATTGAATAAAAAAAGCAGGTTGAGTTGCAATGCAATTATAAGAATTGTGGTTGGTTGGTTCTATCAGTAAGTACTTTCTATTACTCTATTTTAGGAAGAACATATTTTTGGTCTTCTCAATCACTGCACCAAACCACTGTCACTCTTCTAACCAAAATATCGGTTTTAAATATTTTTTTATTATCCCATCAAATTTCACAAAGTCACCCTCTTCAAAGTCCAAAAATGGACCCCATTTTTCACTTTTAAAATAACGGGACAAAGATTTTCAGTTCCTCTGCCCACACCCAGGTTTCAGATGTTCATGATTGTTTTGTTAATGATTTTTTTTAATTTTTTTTATTCTAAATACAGATTGAAGTCTTTTATTCACTTCATATTCATTATTTGTTCGGTCACAGGAGTTATAAGTAAGAGGTAATTGGATACCAAAATCAGTTAAAATTAGGCTAATTTATCACAATAATTTTAAATATATATTTATAGATCTCGAACTTCGGATTAATATTAATTTAATTACAATTTAATTAATAATTTTGTTTAGTTTTAATATAATTATTTTTAGTATTAATTTTTGTTTAATCATATCGTTAGATTTATTGGTTGATTTTTTTTAAGATTTTAAACTGGTAAAATATCCTATTTTAAGCTGATCAGAGAGTTATACTACAAAGAATGTATTTGTTGAATATTGATTAATGTTAGTGCGTTATTAATAATGAAGTATGTGTTACAGTTTATAAGAAACTTGAAGTATTAGAGGTAACGTGAAAGATGAGAGATTAGGGTATGGAATTAGAGATAGCTTAATTGTATTGCAAGGTTTAATATGGAATGGAGAAAGTAATAAAAAGCATTAGGTTGTATTATTTGTGTTGAATTTGTGAGGTTGAAGTGTGTGGAAAGGGTGAAAAGAGGGGTTGGTGAGTGAATGATGAGTTCCTTTTGTCTTAATTTTCAGATCTTCTTGTCTCTATGTACCTAATAATCCTGACATATTATAAGTCAATAATGAATTAATACAGTAACATTATTCTTATTACACGACACATCAAAATCTTGTTTAATTCTGTGAATTTTTTTTTTCCTTAAGAAAATTACCAATAAGTAGATTAACAATATCAATACACTTCTTTAAAAGTATTTCTAATAAAAAGATAACTAATTTACGTCAAATCTTAATACCCTTTGTTATCCTTGTCATACTATATGATTGAAGGCACTTTTATCCAATCTTTGGATTATGCACTATCAATCCATACAATTTTATTGCCAAGTTGTTCCACACATTGCAATTAATTCGGTTTTTCATAAATGGTTCAAGTCGAAGTAGATAATCATATTTGTCATAAAAGGAACTGATAAAAAAATTTTAAAAAATAGAATTTAATTTATTATTTTCATTCATATATACATATACTTTGTTATTATATCATTCTAATTTTACAATTCGAAGATAGATTAAGAAAGTTTTGATTATATATAATTTGCATGCTACCATCCCATTTCTTTAAAATCCAGTGTCTACTTTCACCACGAGAGAAAATTACCTAATTTTAATTTTGAAACTTTAATTTCAAGAAAATACTTTGAAGACCCAAGATGTTTCGTCTCAAATTTCTTTGTGAAGTACTATTTCAATGATTTTACATTCCTTCAGCATCAACATAAATAACAATAATTATAATCATTCTTTGATTGTTTTAGTGTCTATACCAAATTACATACAACCGATATATATATATATATATATATATATATATATAAAGCTTCCATAAAGTAAATATACATTTTTATGATTTTAGTAATTTTTTGTTTTATGGATATTAACAATCATCTTTTTACTTTTGGTTTTTCAACATACCATCTTCTATATCTCTCATCTTTTGTTGAAGGTTTCATCTTTCTCATAATATAGAACATTTTTTCTCTCATAAGTTATAAGTTAGATTCATTTAAAATGATGCCTACTTTAAAACACTTTCAGGTTAAATTACAACTTATATTCATTGTTTGTCATCTTTCCAAGTAAGATATCCAAGAATTAAAAAAAATAATCTTAAACTCTAACACCAAATAGAAAAATAAAACTCAATCCACTATTTGTATTAATATATTTTTGTATACAAATGTTACATTATAATTATACAATACTTTATACCATTATATAAATTTAAGTAATTAAATATTTTAATCTCAGCCACAAATTGTGCATCTCTCTTCTTGCACACCACTTAATGGCATTTCTAGAAAAAGGCATTAGGCAAGTCAGAATTACTTTCTTGGCAAGTTGGGACGTGTAATCGCCATGCACCAATTTATTTGTGAAAGCTGTCATGTAATAACCTTATTTTTAGCACTGATAGCAGGAAAAGTAATTGGGAATAATATCTAAATGATATCTGTCATGTAATTTCAGGATAGTAGACCAAATTTTATACAGTGATGAAATGATTGGTATATATTAAGGAATAATTGTAGCTAATGTCATCTGTCCTATGACAATCTCGTGTATGTATTTTTATAAAGGAAATTGATAATAATTATATCGTTCGGTCTTGTGTTGTTTCTCTATACTGTTCGATCTCATCCACTATCATGAACAGCTCGGTTGTAAATCTATGAGAAATATATATTTGTAAAGAAAAGAAAAGATTGAAAGATGAAATAGTGGATATAATATCTTTTAGCCATTATCTGCGGAAAAATTTACTCTTCCGACCAACAAGACGTTATTATTGATACAAGTTTTACGAAAGTAGTAATAAAAGTCAACGATTTTATTCACAGTACATATTATTTTTAGAAGTTGAAATTGAAGCTTCATTGGCGTTGGTTGTTCTCTTTTTAATGATTAAAGTTCATAAAAGAACACGCAGTGATTAATGTTGTTTGGCTCATAAACTCCTTCTTTAACCTATCTTTTCATCCCATACATAGCAAAGTTGGTGAAGACAAATTCATTTCTCCACTCCCTTCTCACTTTCTAGCATTACAACTTATTTAATTTGTGTTGTCTCTTTTTTCTTTATATATATTTTGAAAAGGTTTTTGAATAGTGTTATGGTCTAAGTTGGATCTCAATAATGTTCTTAAGGCATTTAAACTACTTGAATTAACAAACATTTGAATCATTAAAAATGGACAAATATTAGGTTAAAAAAGAGGAGATTAAAACAAATAGAAGAAAAGACAGAAAGTATTTTTAGAAATTTAATATGATAACGACGTGAGTAATAGTAGCATAACACGTTCTTACATTCATTTGGCATATAAAATAAGGATAAAATGATCATAATAGAATAAACTTTTATATTTTTTCAAAAAAAAAAAAAAAAAAAAAATTTATATACGTGAAAGTATCATTTCTCTTAGATATTTTTTGGGTGTAAATTTGTACTCTAAAAAGAGTTAACTAAAGTAAAATTGTATAAAAGATTGGCATATAAGTTGTTGAAGGTGATAACATAGAGACATGATGGGTGATGGGAAATTAATTGGGTGAAGTCTGAGTTAAGTGACCACATGCATATGCTTCTGCGCACTGAGATAATTCTGATGCTGAATAAGGGCACTGTGGATAAATTATAGAACAAAAGAACTGAACCACATTGATGAGAGTGGAAAAGGCGATGATTCTGGCGAAGATGGCAACTTGGAACCAATTCAAATATTGTTTTTTTCTCAGCCATTCCACCCAAATTTGTTGCCTTTGATGGATGTACAATGGAAAAGCAGGATCAATAAGGACCACATCATGTTATCATGTTCTGCTGTGGCACCCACAATCAATTTGTGCTTAAGTCAAACACACATCACTCTTCTTTAATCTCAAATCCTATTATATAAATCTGACATTCGTTTATTCTTCTTTATCACACACACACACACACCCTC